GAAAATCTATGGAATCACATAGACAACGACAGAACATTTAAGACAAGCGTACCACAGATTATTATCATGCATTCATGCGTGAATTTATTTTGTTGCAAGCGTTAAAGGGGACATCGGATGCAAAATTGACTTTTACATGGTGTTTGCCTATAAATGTGTCTTAGCAGTGTGTAACCACCCTACAATGATAAAAATCCATTCACTACTTTTTGATTATAAAGTGGAGAGTTCCGGTCCTTGATTCTGATTGGTTGAGCCGCATTCGAAGCTGTTGTAAATTACTCTACAAACACACACCTTTGTTTACTTCTGTGGGTTCTCGGCAACCACTTTGTTGCAACCACAACTGTTTCTGAGGAACTACATTGTTTGGTGGAAGAATAATGTTTTTATTAATATCATTACACTTTATTTGCTCTGTTTTATTCTGTGAAACCTTACTACGTATATGGAATAACCGTTTTATAAAAGCAATAAGCGCTGTGAAGCCGTAGTTTACAGTGAATTTATAACAGCTAAGGGGCGTTGTTAGGCACGACGAGAAGTGGCCAAGAAACCACGGCTTCTTGGGGCTTATTGCTTTATTTTATCCCCAAAAAACCTAAACCGTCTCTTTTTAGGAAAATTAGGAAGCAGTTTTGATTTTCTGAGCAGCATGACGTTATATTGCTCAGGCCCCGCCCACGACCACTGACGGACTGTCCTGTTTTAGCATATTTCCGTCCTCAGTCTTCACTTTCTCCTGACATGAGAGCCACTGAGGACGTAGTGGATTAGTTTTGTTTTTGATGGTAACGCGCCACCGAATACACAAAAATGGAAGAGGGGGCGGGGTGAGCAGTAGCTCATTATCATTTAAAGAGACATGCACTGAAACGGGTCGCTGTGAACAGAGCTGACAAAGTAAAAAACAGATTGTTTTACACTACCACTAAGGAATTTTAACCAAAGTATTTTGCAGACATTTCATGAAGACCCTAAAGAATCATACCAACTTGTGGAAAATGGGCATCCGATGACCCCTTTACAATGACTAATAAGAACTAAAATCTCTGATAGAGTGGCACACCTAAAAATGTACTTAAAAATATAATTATTTGATACTAAATATCAAACCAAAAGTCTGTGCTCAAATCAGAACTAACTTCCTGTAATGTATGCATTTTAAAATTTTATTTATTCCTGTGATGCAAAGCTGAATTTTCAGCATCATTACTCCAGTCTTCAGTGTCACATGATCTTCAGAAATCATCCTAATATGCTGATTTGCTGCTCAAAAAAAATATTTATTTATTATATTATTTATAATATTTATTATTTTCAGAATTCTTTAATCAATAGAAAGTTGAAAATAACAGTATTTATTTGAAATAGAAATCTTTCGTAACATTATGAACGTCTTTACTGTTTCTTTTTATAAAGTCTGTGTTCGAATGCTGCTTAAGCTTTTCTCAGAATTGTCTTCGTCGTTTTTACTGTAGCTGTTGTTTTAGTGAAGTTTAGTGGATGTATAAAGTCACACAGCTCACACAGGTGTCCTATCAGAGAAACCACAGGTGTAGAGGAACACATTAACATGAAGATCTTCCACTAACATTATCTTGTGAAACCCAAGACACTTTTAGTGACATGTTTTGCTTGAAAACTAGCTTGTGCTATAATATTTAATTCAAATAAACACCACTTGGTATGCTATTACGTTATGTGATGCAAAGACAAAGTATGCCGATAGTATTTTCTGTATGTACTGCTGATAGACTGATGAGCTACAAACCTTTGTCTAAAGGTTTGTTTAGGTGCACTAGAACCAGATCCTTGTTCGGAGACAGATATAGGATGAAGTCTGTTTCACAACACATCCCAGTAACATTTTCCACATAAAGCTCCACATGGTCCAGTGAAGTGTGTGGATTGAGCCCTTTCAGCAACAGCTTTCCAGGGTCCTTTGGTGGTTTCCTCCGCACTGTCAGTGTGTTATTCTGGAGGACATGGGACTTGGAGACAACTCTGGCAGCAGCTAGTGTGAGAGAAACAAAAGTTTTGCTCACGTATGCTTGTAATATTGTCATTTTATTCATTTCTTTTTTAAATATAATGTATTTTTAATCTATTTAATGTATTT